CCAAAGCGCAAGCTTGTTGGTGGAGTAAACATGGGTGTTGTGGTACGATGACATCTCTCTATATACAGAACAAAAAAACACAAGGAAAAAATCATTAGAAAAAACCACATATGAAAAAACACTACACCTTGAACAAGCAAGAACTAGTACAAAGCAATAGAATATTGCCTAGGCCATATCTTAGCCTCGATTGAGATCTTGATCCTGACTAGATTAAAATGACAAAGAAACTAAAACACTCCTCAACAAGGACGATCACAGTAGTTCTATGGGCAACAGCTGCTAACGAAGTTATAACACTACCTCCTTTCCTTGGCTAGCAACTTACAAGTGAAAATTAAAAGAGACTAGGAAGGATATTTATACTCGACGCAGACGCTAACAAACATTAGAAGACATGAGTCCCCGTAGCATTACTAATTACTAATAAAATAGATTCAGAATATGAGCAATCAGAGTAGTAGTCGAGGGGTGGGCGTGTTTTCCTGTTTTGATGACGAGAAAGTCCGGCACGTTAAATACATAGAGCTGCTGACTTTCTCGTTATCAGAGCTAGAAAACGCGTCAACCCCTCGACTACTACACTAGCGATTCAAGTAGTAATGGCGACGAGCAATGTGAACGACACATGTGCCAAGTAGAAAACTGACATGTGGAACAATAAGGAACCGACACGTGATCCAGTAAGAACCTAAAACATGCAAGAACCAGAGATAGACACGTTATGCAATAAGGTGACACATACCCGAACTATCTCCAATGCAATCGGCTATAGCATGTACACGTGGAAAGCATTTCCAACGAAAGCACCCACCAGTGTGGCAGCCCCCCTACCATGCATGCCAAAATAGTTCTATCACCTTATGTTTTCATCACAGATCAAGCCACTTCTATGACGATTTGCAAAAATCATCATAATAGTTCAAGTACGACGTGACTTCTATGACGAACCGGTTTTCATCATAAATTCATCATAAAACTAAAATTATGATGAATTTGGCTCCTTCCGTGATGAAAACTGATCATCATAGAAGTGAATATTCTTAGTAGTGATTGGATTTTGACGAACATGTTTTTGGGGGATTGCCTCCCTTCCCTAGAATAGAGAATGGGGAGCACACCGGAAGTAACCAGAACAAGACACATAACGTGCCTCTATGCTCGTGCCCTATGCTTTGTTTATCATACGAGCTCTAAATCTGTGGCAACCCTAGGTGGAGGCAAAACATGAGTTCGGCATAAGGTCATGTAAGCAAATTTGACCGCCCTGTGTATGCAAATTCTCTTCTAGTTGATGAGCCCAACTGGTTTCGTGCTCTCGGGTGCAGCAAGTAGTCTAGTCGAGTTTGGTTAATCCAATGCTCAGAAGGTCTTTAATATTTTACATTGAGTGACCCTCAAAGGTCTTTTTCATTATACATCGAGCATAGTAACATATCGAGTAATCTTATTCGACTAACACTACCTATCGAGTACATCGAGCACTTTCAACTAGGGGCTACACTATCCTCCCTACGGATCGACCATAAGGATTAGTGAGTTCATGGTACACATCGACAATAATAATGGTTTCCATTAACATCATCTTTTGAGCAATAAAACTTTTGCATCACGAGCAATGACTTTTATGCTCATCAAGCTACAAATGGGATGAGCGAGTGGCATTCGAGTGCTCACCGTAAAACAACCGGCTCTAGAGTCCTAGCTTAGGGTATGCCATAAACTCTTGGTTGGATCTCAAACAACATACTTGGTCCAAGTCAATCAGTTGCCTTCTGTGTTCCCTTGACGGTATGCTCAAACATCCAAGTGGGAGCCCACTTGCATACTGCAGTATCCGAACATGTGCAACATAGTTTTAGGACTGTTTGATAGCAATCACGAATACTCCCCTTTCTGTAAGTTTGACCGGGTCAGTATAAGTGGTCCCATCATCTAGGCCTATGGTGCGAACCTAACCGTTTACGTGGGGGCAGAAGGAGAACCATTGAGTCCCACTCCATTAAGTGCCCGATATAAAAATAAGAGTGGGAGCGAGACCTTATCGTTTCCACTCCACCGTCTCCGTATTAAACCCTAACTCCTCCATCAGTTCTCGCACTCTTGCTTGTTTGCCGCCTCATTCACTAAGGCAAGCACATCTTCAATTCTCGCCTCCACCAAAGTAGATGGGGAAGGGGAAGTGCACCGCACTCAAGGCAGAGGGCTCACTATCGACGAGGCTGGAGGATCTCGATGTGACAGGTTTCTAGGAACCGTTGAATGTGAAGGTCGATCTCTGTGATCTAGTGGAGAAGGGCTGGCTAGGACTGTGGGAGCTCGTCGGATGGAGGTCCGGCGCGAGGGAGAGGTTCCCTATCTCCGAACATTGGCGAGGTTGTTGTCTTCATATCCTTCTTTGAGTAGGGATTCTTTATGCCAAATAGTGTCCTATGAGGCCTAGGTCCAGCATCTAAACCAAATAGTGTCCTACATATTTCAGTCTTCATTTCTCTCTATGAAAATTACCTAGGTATTGAGCCCCTTTTCACGTTTTTGGAAGGAGTTAGGGGGGGGGGATGACTCCAAAGTTACCATGGGACTCCTTTACTACTGGGGGCTTGAACTTGTAGCTCCACCACAAGAGTACCTACTTCAACAGCCCCTTTATATCTTCCAATGCGGGATGGCACAAGCATTGGTTCTACATCTCGAGGGAGATTAACGAGCTGAAGTCCTGGGCATGAAGGTGAAAGTCTGATCGGAGTCTTAATTCGTCGCCGGGTGCAGCTAATCAAGGATCATGTGCACCCGATGTATCAGTAAAAGGGCTAGCAGGATCTGACCAGGGTGTCGAATTAGGAGCCGGAGAACATGAAGTGAACGCGTGAAAAGCTCAACCAAGGGTGAGGAGTCAAATATCTTATTGATCACATACTACTACTTTTAATAAAGCCCGCTAGAACTCGAATGCTTTTAAAGAGTACGATACACCACAGTTTTAAGATTTTTTATTTTTAAATATAATTATTGGTATAAATATAGATACATTCCTAGTACATATAGTGGGTGTTTGTAGAATGGAGTAGTCTGTCATTATCTCATTCTTTAGTTTTTTGTCTGATTTGTGAAATAGAATGAATTAAAATTGATCCATTATAACCTTATTCCTCGTAAGCTAATAATTAGTACACCCTCCATCTCAAAAATATTTAACTTTTTAGGTTTGCACATGAAAATTTAAAAAGATTAAAAAGGTGTGGCACACATAAAATAAAACGGAGAGTGATAGAGAAAAATAGAGATACATATGTATTGAAAAAGGTATATTAGGAAAATTTTGTAACGTCAATTATTTTATGACAAACGGACTAGCATAAGATGTACCCTATCCGTCTTAAAATAAGTGTCATCGTAGAATACGTGCTGGTCAAATTTTTCTAAGTTTAACTAGGTTTATAGACAATAGGAGCAACATTTATATCTCAAAATAAATTTATTATAAAATTATATTCAACTATTTATCTAACGATACTAATTATACATCATATATATATATTTTTCATATATATATTTGGACAAAGTTAAAAACATTGACTTCTTGGTAAGTTAAACTAACACTTATTTGGAGAGAGTATGCGATTATTTTACTAAATTTTAAAAATAATAAATTTATGACACATCAACCGATATCTAAACACTCCAATACAGTGCTGCGTGGGACCGTTTGTGTGACACGTCAGCCGATACGACTCGTTTGTGTGAGATGGACAGTGTTGTCAAATCCATCTCACAATCAGCACGAACCGTCTGACAAAAGTACCAAACTGCCCCTCTCCCTCCCACAGAGTCACAGTCCAGTCCACGGTCCACCCTCCCCTCGACCAAACCCTGGAATCACGCCGCCGCCCCACTCGAGACCCCGCTGGTCCGTCCCCCCTTCCCTCCTTGGGGACCGCTCGCCTCGCCACTGGAGCCGGCGGCGACCTCGAGCGACAGGGATCGACAGCGAGCGCGCGAGCCCGGCCAGCAACCTGATCTGCGGCGAGGCTCCACCGGGTGGGAGGCGGCGAGATCGACGACGGGCTCGGTTCGATTCGGCTGAACGCTGAGCACCGGCTTAGCTGAGGCGGGCATCGGCGGCGGAGAGGCTAGCGCGCGGCGGAACGCTGAGGTAGGCTTCCGGCGTCTCACCATTTCTTGGTCAAAGTCCATGTGCTTTGCTGTTCATGTTCGCAACGACCCGCCGGCCCCTTACCAGGGCTGATTTGTTCTGGTCTGCGCTCTCCTGCGAGCAATTGGATCGAAATGTTGGTATGGAATACCGCCTGGACAGTGTAAAAGTGTCCATCTTTAGCATAATCTGATTGCGTTCGATAGCTCGGTTCGGATACTTGCGTGTTCTAGTGCTTGTTGACCACTTGACCATGGTTAGCGCCCAAGTTGCTCTCGCGAATCCGCTGTTCTGTGCAGTGGTGGACCCAAAAATTCTTAGGGCCACTTTCAAGTCACGATAACTACCCCATAGAGGTGAAACGATCAGAAACAATTGATGAAGGACTAAATCACGAAACAATCAGCATCGATCACCAAAAAGCTAAATCACTTTCAGTTTCGTTTTTTTAAGACCAAAACGATTTGATTAAACTGCAGCTGAGGCGCCGAGCTGAGCATCTAATCCCCAATTTCTTCATCTCTCTCTACATAAAACAACGTTCCTAGCCTAATATAACACCTGCTACATCCGTCCAAGATGAAGCCTTCACTTCATTTTTCAATCCTGTTGAATTGATACTAGTACACTACAAGTCTATAAATGGTTGGGATTTGAAAATTGGAGTAGAAAAATACCTCAAATGAGGCCAAATCGTTGGAGGGGAGCAGCGGCCTGCGTGATGGCCTGTGACTACGTGAGCTTTGAGCATGGATGCGTGGCGCAAGGAAGCCACTGGCCAGGGCAGCATGTCACCGTTGCTCCTGCTTGAAGGCCTGCACTCTGCCTGACTACCTCTATGCGCCGGATGGCCTCCGCGACCATGGTCCCTGTTCCTGTTCGCCTGGACGCTTGCGGCCTGCTCCTCCTTGGCTTGGCCAGCGGGCAGCGGGCAGCGGCCCCTGGCCGCCTGGCAGCCGAGCGGGGCCGGGGCGGCCACCGCTGGGGTGCTGGGGCTGGGCAGCGGCGGGCAGGCGGCGTCCGGCCGAGGGACGATGGCGGTGTCACGGAAAGCAGAGGGAAGGGGCGAGCCGGTGAGGGGCGGAGGCGCGGAGCATAGAGCGGAGGGGGCGACGGGCGGAAGCGCGTAGCGCCAGCGGCGTGCGGCGCGACTCCAGACGAGCGAGGCGGCGCGACTCTGACGCGACGCGAACGAGCGCTACCCCTGCCGTATTCCCTCGCTTCAGTTGGACCCCTCCATTGTTGGGCTGGTATCTGATGGGCCAAGAAATTGAAGAACTGCTCCCTGATTACTTGGGCCACGACTAGGGCCATGGCCCTAGTTGCCCTAGTGCTGGGTCCACCAATAGTTCTGTTCTACGTTGCTTGTGTGTTTGGCCCGTCTAGCTGTTCTCAGTGACAAACTTAATCCGGTAGCTGAATCGATATATTTGATTCAAGGATTTATGCTTGACATTTCTGATGCATTCAGACATTCAGTCTCCTAGCCGTGTATCTTAAGGATGGTGATTTTTTGGATAAATTGGTGATCTTGTGATTTGTAAATTCAGTGCTAAACCTGATATATTCTTTGGAATTTGCAGGTTATCTTGTATTCTTGTCAAGAAAACTCTCTTGTCCCTCAGGGCACTGAGCAATCCTTGTGATTTATGACTAACTCTGGGTGGTGAAAGGATTCAGAAAGTAGAAAACAACAGGATGGCTGTTTGGTGTTCCTGTACTGCTCTTCTCCCTGTACTCTTCTGTTTTATGATCTGTCAGCTTTCCTATGGCACAGTAACTGATATCCAATGTCTGAAGAAGCTGAAGGCATCAGTTGATCTGGACAATAAGTTAGAATGGACATTCAATAACAACACAGAGGGATCCATATGTGGATTTAATGGTGTGGAGTGCTGGCATCCTAATGAGAACAGGGTTCTTTCGCTTCATCTTGGTAGCTTTGGTCTTAAGGGCCAATTCCCTGATGGGCTTGAGAATTGTAGCAGCCTGACTTCGCTGGATCTCTCAAGCAACAGCCTTTCTGGCCCGATCCCAGCTGACATCTCGAAGCGACTTCCATTCATTACAAACCTTGATCTGTCATATAATAACTTCTCAGGAGAGATACCAGAAGCACTAGCTAATTGTTCTTATCTCAACGCCATCAGTTTACAACATAACAAATTGACTGGAACAATCCCAGGTCAGCTTGCTGCACTCAGTCGCCTAGACCAGTTTAATGTTGCTGACAATCAATTGTCAGGGCAGATTCCTTCATCTTTGAGCAAATTTCCAGCCTCCAATTTTGCAAATCAAGACCTTTGTGGTAGGCCTCTAAGCAATGACTGCACTGCCACTTCAAGCAGCCGAACAGGGGTAATTGTTGGTTCTGCTGTCGGTGGTGCAGTTATAACTTTAATAATGGTTGCTGTTATTTTATTCATTGTCTTGCGAAAAATGCCTGCAAAGAAGTTAAAAGATGTAGAAGAAAATAAGTGGGCAAAGACTATTAAGGGATCAAAAGGAGTAAAGGTATGTTTTCACTCCATAATTTTGATATATATCAGTTTATATTTTGTATAAATGTGTAGTCAATAGCCTTGCCATTATTCTTAGCAATCAATTTTGCTTTCTTGTTCTCCAGTGTCTTGTAACCTCATATGGAAAGTTTGGGAACACAAGATCTTACCATACTTATAGGAGGGTTAAATTTGTATATTGGGTCGTGGGACATCTTTACTGAGTCAGGATGCCTACTTTCTTATGCAGTCATGTCATACCCTGCCCTGCACTCCACACATGCTATCAGCCATTAATTTGGTTGACACTTGACACCTTTTCTCTAATTGATAACTATGGCCTTGTTTAAATCTAGGGTGTAAAGTTTTGGGGTGTCACATCGAGTGTCACATGGAGGTGTCACATTGGGTGTTCGGATACTAATAAAAAAAACAAATTACAGAATCCGTCAGTAATCCGCGAGATGAATTTATTAAGCCTAATTAACCTGTCATTAGCACATGTGTTACTGTAGCACCCAGTTGTCAAATCATGGACTAATTAGGCTTAAAAGATTCGTCTCACAAATTAGTTGTAAACTGTGCAATTAGTTATTTTTTTTAGTCTATATTTAATACTCCATGCATGTGTCCAAACATTCGATTGGATAGGGAGTAAACTTTAGGGGGAGGAACTAAACAAGGCCTATGTTATATTGTATGTAGCTAATTAGTTCAATATACCTGTGCTATCAAATAAGAAGCTATGTTGTCTTTGACTAGGAGTAGATATGTCTGACAAACATTAGGTATATTATTGTACATGCTACAGTCGGGCATGTTTGGTTCACAGAGCAGCCTTGCCTTGCCTAGCTTGCACAAACTCCCAAAAATTTGCCAGCCCCAGTGAGCTGATCTAGCTCGCTCATGGTACCAAACATCTACCCTCACTTCAGATCTCACTAGGCAAGGAGAAGCAAGCCTCGCTGCTAGAACCAAATGTGCCCTCCATCCCACAGCTTTGCTTAGATGAGTGGTTTGGTTTGCTGAAATTTTCACATTTATTTTGTCATTTAGGTATCAATGTTTGAGAAATCAGTTTCAAAGATGAAGTTGAATGATCTTATGAAAGCAACAGATGATTTTACAAAGGACAATATTATTGGAACTGGTCGATCAGGAACTATGTACAGAGCAACACTTCCAGATGGTTCATTCCTTGCTATCAAGAGGTTGCAGGACACTCAACATTCGGAGGACCAATTTACTTCTGAGATGTCAACACTGGGAAGTGTACGGCAACGTAACTTAGTGCCACTTTTGGGATACTGCATTGCCAAGAATGAGAGGCTCTTGGTGTATAAGTACATGCCAAAGGGTTCACTTTATGATAATTTACACCAACAAAACAGTGACAAAAAGGCATTGGAATGGTCATTGAGGCTAAAAATTGCCATTGGGAGTGCTAGAGGATTGGCGTGGCTTCATCACAGTTGCAACCCTCGCATTCTTCATAGGAACATTAGTTCCAAGTGCATATTGCTTGATGATGACTATGAGCCTAAGATCTCCGATTTTGGTCTGGCAAGGCTCATGAATCCCATTGACACCCACCTGAGCACATTTGTGAACGGTGAATTTGGTGACTTAGGGTATGTAGCTCCGGAGTATACACACACTCTTGTGGCCACTCCAAAAGGGGATGTCTATAGCTTTGGGGTTGTCTTACTTGAACTTGTTACTCGTGAAGAGCCCACACATGTGTCAAATGCGCCAGAGAACTTCAAAGGGAGTTTGGTGGATTGGATAACTTACCTGTCAAACAACTCTATTCTTCAGGATGCAGTTGACAAGTCTTTGATTGGGAAGGGCAACGATGCTGAGCTGCTTCAATGCATGAAGATTGCCTGCTTTTGTGTGCTTTCTTCTCCAAAGGAAAGGCCTACAATGTTCGAGGTTTACCAGCTTCTGAGAGCTGTTGGGGAGAAATATCATTTCAGTGCAGCTGATGATGAATTGACGATGCAACCTCAAAATGCCAATCCTGAAGATGAGCTTATTGTAGCAAACTAGTTGAACCTATGTGATGAGTAGTGCTTGTACCAAATATTATAGGAGTTGCTTTAACTTGGAATAATCAGGTCGTTTTTAATCATTTCTATATCTTCTCTCTACTTCTGGCGCTACATGTCAGGCAAGCACTAGGATTTGTCATTCGATTGTAAGGTCTATCAAAATGTGCTGTTTACATTTGTACATTCTTGCCTTGTTGTGTATCCTCAGGATTATTTTCTCCTGCTGTTGTAAGATGGATCAGCAATGTGAAACATGCAAATTTTAGCTGTAGTGGTAGCAATGCGAAACAATGTTGTCCCATCATTCATCTGCAGTTTCGGTGGTGCTTTCGTTTAGCATTTTGGTATCATTTTCATACTTATTTCTAATTTCAAATGTTAGACCAGTGTCGACTGGTTTTCAGAGGTGGGAGTTTTATTTTCTAGTTTGATAAAGCCTGGAACATGCTGGTAGGTACCTGGTACTTATATGTACATATTTACATTATATCCTGTGCCTTATGTATATAATTGCCCCATATTTCTTTTTTGAGATGCTACTTTCCAATAGCCAGATGACACTGCAGTAGATTCTGATTTCAGTTCTGTGTTCCACTCAGAGAGGTAGAGAACCGTGCTACCTTTAGTTTATAGGACATGTGTCCATCCCTAAAAGAATATTTATCCCTGCAGATGGAGATATGTATCCTTTTGATTAAAGTATACTTATTCCCCGAAAGCCCACCACCTCTGTTTCCTGTTTACAACTTCAAATACAAAACCCCATAAGTTTTTTTTTGCAAACAGTTACCTTTTGAAAAATATGAATTATGATGACAACCCGTGGAACCTAATGTATTTCTCATCAACAAAGTAGCAGACTTGTAGATGTCCAACTCGGAAATAAAATACTATCGCTCGCCTGCCCATGCTTGAAATATTCTGTGTTCAAAGTACAATAGTAAAGCCTTTATTATATGGACTAACAAAAATGCCAGTGCATTGCAATGGGAGAACAATTTATTATATCATCGGCATCACGAGTGTTGTTGTATGGTGAAGCCGTGTATGGCACAGTGGCCACAATAGCACACACGCCTAGTGTCGTCGGGCACGGCCAAGCAATGTAGGACGCCGGTGTGCCAACCATTAAGACATGGGCTAGCGACTGTGCAACTACGCGCGGCACAGCGCTTGTGTGGCGTGACTCCAGTGGTGGTTGAGCGGATCAGGCTCCTTGCAGCGGCATAGGCGTGGCATGTCGATCGCAATTGAGAGAGCGTGCAACCCTTATAGTGCCCTGAACGATCTAGAAGAGTGGCGTCCATGGGAGATCTAGTTGTGCCATTAGTGCCCGCAACGATGCAACAATTTGTAGATAAGCCTGGCAAGGAGTAGATGTATTACGTGAGGGTCAATAGATTGCTCCACTATCGGTCTTCCGAACCGCAGGTCCACATAATTTCAGTATGCTTGATGTGTCTTTGCCTTGTCTCATAGTTATTGATCTCCTACGCTCTCACGAGGGCTCCGATTCTTATAGGGCCATAGGTCTATGACAATCTATAGCGCACGTGCTAACGAGTGTAATGGGTTTGGACCTAGGAGAGGGAGCAGAACAAAGCTACCTCGCCCGGCACGAAGACAAAACGGGTGACAAACACATTGATTAGGAAGCGGACAGATGAATGTAACTCGAGCAAAGGATATAATGGATGCAACAAATTAGTGGTGAAAAATATTTATTGAAAGAATAGAAGATACTTGTTATTAGAAAAGAAATACGACCAAGTCGTTTAGTATCGGAGATAGAAGGATAAGTAAGAAATAAAAATGAGAGGTACACTTGGGAAAAAAAAAACAAAACTATGGAAAGAAAACTCAGAGGGAGAAAAGAAGGGGGAAAACATGGAAAGAAAATAAATGAAGGGTCCAAAAAGAAAAAAAAAGATGCAAAAACAGGAAAAAAATATGGACGAAAATAAGAAATAGAACCAAGTGAAAAACAGAATCAGAAAGAAAAAAACAAAAAAGAGATTCAATGTAAAGGTTTGAAGGTGGTAGAGGGTAAATAGAAAACGATTCATTGACATCACGTGAGTTCACATGGTCTAGTGGTTAGCAATTGTTAATTGCATGGTGGAAGGCACGGTTTGAATCCTCGTGTGGCCAGAATTTTTGTCTCATTTTCCAGTTGTTTTCCTGATTGGGCCGATGGGCTCAAAAATTGACCGGACAGTCTGGTAGCTGGAGTTCCCTCGCTTGCGCAGGTGGGCCGTGAGTGGGCCGGCCGGACAGTCAGTAGCTGGAGCGAATCACGAGTGGATTGAACAGTTAGGCCAGATTAGAATGGGCTGGACGAAAAAAACGCACCAGAAATTTTGCCTCTTTATTATTAGAGATAGATTCCAAGTAACCAAAACAATCGTGTTGTTCAGCAGTTAAACATTGCAACATATATTGTATCCTTATGTTTTCAACATAAAAACAAGAAAACAGATGGAACCAGTAACTGAAGGCGACGAAGCTAGAGCATATCTAGGAGCACCGACTTGAAAACCTGACCCAAACCCAACCGAAATCTCAGTATCAAGATGGGCCATTCACCAAGAAGCTTAGTAAGAATGGGAAGTAAAGATGTCACAATGCAGATCGCAACAGCCAGCCATGGAAGTTGAGGAGCCAGAACAGTGTATAAACCAGTTGCAAATGCGGTGGTGGTTGCCATGAAAGCAAACCACATAAGCTTCTTGGTAAAAGACCTGTAGTAAAGCAAGAACTCAAGATCCTCCCATCTTGCTATGACGCATATGAAGGCAACAGCAAGTGAGGAGCACATTGCCAATGCATTAGAGATCAAGAATGCCTTATTGCCATGATGGGAAGCCCCTCGTTTCCAGCATCAGTGCTGTATCCTCCAGGCAAAGTGAATGCAGCAGCAAAGGTAATCGTAGCGATGAGGATCGCCACTACGGAAGTGTTGCCTGTGTATGTTTGAGTCAGTGACATGATATCCTTCCTTGATAAGTTGGTCACTTCATCCTTGGCGTCCTTGAGGAGATTAAAAATAGAAGGAGCACTTTGAGGATCAGCTTTCAGCATGCGCATGGACACTTCATTCTGCTTAAGGTTAAAGAAACATTTTGCATTAGTGTAAATAAAAATGGGAATGGTGCTTGCATTAATTAATATAACACTAATGGAAAAAATGAAAACCTACAACTCCATGGTTTGTTGTCACGGTTGCAGAAATCCAAATAGTCATTTATGTTTAAAATCTGTCTTTTCATTCCTTCAGAGTGGATCTTAGATGTTGTTTATGGCAACTAGTAAAGTGCGCCTGCACTTTGGCGTTGTTTTCACACTAGTACTGACTAGTCCATCAAGCCATTCTCTCGTATGGGTTAGAATCAATGTTAGTTACTGCTTAATACCTTTAACTAATAAAAGTTTACTTATATCAAAATGTATGTTTTTCTTTGTCTATTTTTCTAATACAACAGGTATAATGTATACTCTATAGTCCCTATCTAGTTGTGATAAACTTATCAATTACTGAACATAGCTTAAACTAAATATTTTTCATCCATATCTATAGTTTTAGTCTTATTAATTGCTAAAAAAATTTATCCTCAAATAAAGTTGAAACTCTTGTACTTATAATATCTATTATGAACTCTACTTTTGTACTATGATGACATAAATAATCATTTATAACTGGCATCACATCGCGTAATATCAGTGCTAGAGTTTGAAGTGAGATCTAGAATGGGGTAGTGGTGCTAATCTTATGAGGATATTAATATCTAAGCTTTATAATGGCTATTTACTGTAAAGAACTTTTAAAGGACAAAAGGTATACAACTACCTACAATCTGCACTAACCTCTGTTTTTAAAGTGTTTGAATTTCTTATGAAGGAATTATATGTGTAATAATGGCTATACTATCAATATTGATATTCCAGACGTTTTTGTGAAAATGTATACATATATCTAAAGTGACAACCTATATGAATTACATGTCATGGATATTAAAATAATTTTCACTAATTTTTAGTATCATAAGAATATGAACCACTAAGAAAATATTTTCATGATCGTTGAAACATAACATATATCATTCATGCATGCATGTGTACTTGATCCACATGATGGTACAACATGTATGTATACTTTAATCAAAATTTAATATATTAATATTAGTAGAATTGGGTAATACAGAAAAAAATATATATGTATTATGGGCATTTAAACATTTTTAATAGATGATGTTGATAATATAGATGTGGATTTGAGAAGATATTTATGTTTTTTAAACAATGACAAAAGTTGAGATGCAAATTCAAAGGGTTACATAGATTATCAATCATAACAACAAGTGTGTAATTAGATGCAAATTTACGATAACATGTGGGTATTATCATGTTTCTTAATAGCATAGGTGGGTAATCTATTATTATTATTAGATCTATATAGTTCGTACCCATTAACTGCATTTACTTTTTCTAATGCTCAATTCTCAGTGAGCCACGTCATCTCAAGTCTCAACACAATGGTTCCCCCGCTTCAATTTTTGTAACGATTGGATCACAATTTGAAAATGAGCTAGACACGTCTGTCCATGTGCCACTCCGCTCACCTCCCACAGAACTGAGAATTCCCACTAGCGCTTACTTGCTCACTTGCTATCTCTCAATAACTCATTCAATTAATAATGATGGCAAGATAATCAGTAGCCAAGCATGGGCTCCAACAAAACTGTAATCGGTGGAATGTGGAGGATGGCGTTGAGTAGCTTAACGATGGGAGAAATAGCTGGCCATATATATATATATATTTTGCGCAGCTTCAACATCACTAGGCCATGAACTATATATAGCTCATTTACTTTCCCGCCGCTGGTGATATATACATATAGCTCACGTAGTCATGCTCCTTCCTTTCCCGCCGCTGGAAGCACGCTGCTCCAGCACCTTGCTCCTGAATGCACTAGACAGCGATATTTCTAACTAAGAACACAGGCTTCAACATCACAAACCTAAATGATGTTACGGTGCTACATACATAGTTGAGCTGTAAGCTGGATGCAAGCCATGGTGGCACAGTAGGTGGGCTGTCATCCTGTGCAAATTATGTGGTCACCTCAGTCTATGGGCCGACAAACAATGACGACAAAGCAACCTTTCTCAGTGAACTGATTGCTAGCCAACCGATATCCAGCATGCCTTGGGTGTGCCTTGGGTATTTTAATTTGATCTATGAAGCCCAGGACAAAAACAATAACAATCTAAACCGGATGCAGATGAGAAGGTTCAGGCAAGCTTCGTCGGCGTACAATGTCCAATTTGAAGGCCAATTAGCTTGGTTCTCCCAACTGTTCACAGCCGGAAACAAAACAAGCCACAGCTTTGGCTAGCTTGACTCTATGGAGCATTTAGAAGCAAAGAAACGCAGTGGTGTTCAGGGATTGCAGAAAAGGGGAGCAGACTCTGTTCTCGGCAAGGTTTTCATTATCGGAAATAAAAATTTATCGGAGGTCATGGATAAATAGGATAAGCAAGATATATCGGAAATATTGGACCAAATTAAAAAAAATTGAAATTGTTTTGAAAAAATTCCGTAGAATTTGACTTGAAACTATTCCTAAGCTATTAAACATCACTTGTTCACAGATAAAAACAAGAATAAAACATTATAGTGTGGGATTATCGTACGACTGAATTTGGGTTGTCTGTGTGGAAGTAGAAAAGAAGGGAAAAATTTGTCCGATGTCAAATTTTATCGGACCCTGTGGATAGAAAGGAAATTTCGGAAATTTCCGTGAATTTCGGCCGATAAAAAAACCCTTCGGCCGATAAAAAAAACCTTGGTTCTCGGACTTGAAGGATTTGTGCCAGCAGTGGTCTTTAGCGGGAGGGAACTTTTTGAAGCCCCTCATAGTTGTGCAAAATCCAAGTGTGTAATAATAAGCTTTGAAATATTTCTATACCCCTTGTAGCCTAGGCTGAGGGGGAGCGCTTCTCGCGCATGTAATAGTTGTTGCTAACTCTCTCTTATTATAAATCAAAGCTGCGTAACCAGGTCTTTAAAAAAAATACTTCTTTTTTCCAATGTAATATAAAATTGCTCTCTGCGTAGCAACACGTGGGGAATTCAACTAGTATAGCAAGATATGATTGATGCAAAGGACATGCTGAATTCCAGAAGTGCATATGGGTGGTAGGAGAACATGACATTGCAGATGATCGGCATGCGTACTGATTTATGGACTAACGTGAGAGAAAACATACGCACCCAATTTAAAGTCTTGGCACGGTCGGTGGGTAATGTCCTGTTTACTGGGTAACCGTTGTTGTTAACCACTGCGATGTCAATGTCTCGGTGAAGCAATAAAGCAGCCACCTTTGGATCGCACTTCTGGACTGCGACATGCAGAGCAGTGTCTCCATTTTCATCTCGCATGTTAACGAGTTTCTGAAGCTGTGGCAAACCCAGCACAAACTTTACGAACTCCGTCTGTTGAGACTGTACAGCTATGTGCAGACATGTCGAGCCTCTTGTATTGTAACATGGAGCATCTGGACAATGTTTAAGAAGCTCCCGAGCAACATCAACATGGCCACGATATGCGGCAGAAACAAGAAGAGGGTTACCTAATGTCGAGACTTGGTACCCTAAAGACCGATCGTGTTCCAACAATACACTTAGCACGTCACTCTTGTGCCAACGTACAGCCAGATGCATTGGAGTGTTGCTACTCTTGTCTTCTTCTCTGGCAAGCCAAGGACGTGCCTCCATAATCTTGTTAGCGATGGCTGCGAATCAAGCATGCAGTAAGGACGGTTAGCAACCATGGAATAATGGCAACTGCATGTATGTATTAGTTAAAGATGAGTTTTGGTAAAAATAAATACGTTGCCCTCTTGTGTAGTAGGTCACACCTGAATTACCGTTCCACACCGAAGCATGCAGAGCATTCATGCCATCGGCTCCTTCATGAGCAGAATCACGAATCTCAAATAGTTTATCGAAGACACCCTCATATTTCCTCATCACCGCGATGAACATGGGTGACTCACCGTACTGGTTCACATAATGCGACAGGGCAGGCTCTGCTTGTATCAGCTCCAGCGCGAGCTTCCTGTGTCCGTTGCGTATGGCGTGGTGCAGCGCATTGCATCCATGCTTGTCTTGCTTCAGGATCGCCCCACTCAGCTGCTGGTCACGACAGCACCTGAGCAAAACTGAAGCTACAGAGAGACATCCGCTCGCCACGGCGGCAAGCAGAGGGGTCTCGCCGTCCGAGTTGATGGCAGTGAGGAGTGACGGGTTCAGAGCCTGGACCTCCTTACAGAACACTTCGTGGCCATGGATGGCGGCGATGTGTTCCCCTGAGGAGTGGTTCCAAGCACACCCGGAACATGCAGACACAGGTGCCTCATTTCTGCGACATGACCAGATACTGCTAGTCTGCTACTTCCATGGGTCGTTCCGTCCCCTGAGGATGTACAGCTTATTACACAAACAAACAGGAGTACGTTTTAACAATTGACATAACATACACGATTACACGGAGAAACCATACGTACCGACGTGAAAGGCTCTGCGTGGATACTTAGATTACTAAGGTACAACTGTAAAACAGCGACCATGCTCATCATTGTTTGTCTTTTTCGTTCGTCACATTATTCTGGCTGCGAGTTGCAGAGCGGTTTCTCCTGTGTGATTGGGCAGGTTCATAAGATGCTGAAGTTGTGGAGATCTCGCGACAAACCTCACAAAATCTTCCTGACCAAATGATATAGCTATGCGAAGACATGTCGAACCCATTGCGTCGAAGTAGGGAGGATCACGACAATGTCTAAGAAGCTCTCGAGCAACACCAACATTGCCCTCAGATGCTGCGATACAAAGAAGAGGAGCACCATCACCATCTGTGGAGATGAAATAACCCAAAGACGGATCATGTTCCAACAATACTCTAAGCACGTCAATCTTGTTCTCAATTGCGGCCAGGTACATTGGTGTGCGCTTTTCTTCATTTCCTTGTCTGACTAGCCATGGACGTGCCTCCATAACCCTTTTAGCCATAACTGAAACAAAACCAAGGCAAGAAACAGGATATAGGTGACCAAGCTGAGGACATATAGTACTGTATTAGATATCAAGTGTCTGTTAATAAAGTAATAAATGAATTTCACAGCCTGTAGGCGATACATAGGTCTCACCCACTACCGGAAACGGCTTATTTGCCGACGGCCGGGAGGTTTGCCGATGGCCAGAGAATAAGCCATCGGCAGACCACAGGATTTGCCGATGGCAAAGCTGAGCCATCGGCAAAGATATTTTGCCGACGGTCCAGACATCGGCAAAGACAGGCCATCGCCAAAGCCGATCTTTACCGACGGCAAAGCCATCGGCAAACCCGAGCCATCGGCAAATACTAATCTTTGCCGACGGCGGCCAGCCATCGACAACGTTCGACCATCGGCAAAATTGGCCCAGAAGCGGACTCGGCCGACGCCGCCGATGCGTGCCCTTTGCCGATGGCCTTCTAAGTCGAAGTCGCCGTCGGCAAAAAGGAAGGCTATGCCGACGCGACGCGACCATCGGCATAGACAGGCCACGTGGCCGCCTCAGGAGCTGCCGGGCCCACCGTCTATGCCGATGGCTGGCCATCGGCAAACCTACTTTGCCGACGGCCTTAACATGCCGTCGGCATAGTTTGAATTTTTTTTTGTTTTTTCAGCCCATTTTTTTCCTGGTGCCTTCCTACATCAAATATAACCCAACTTCAAAAGTTGGGACAATTTTGAGTTTTTAGCTATATTTCGTTAATTATTTACATTTCTTTTTCATTTTTTAAGCGACTCAAATTTGAGCTGCAATACATGAAATAATAGGATTTTTGATTTGAAAGATGATATTCATGATTCTAGGAGTATCTTTGAAAACGTATCCGAGGAGCTCGCATGAAATAGCGACCATGTTGGCGTCGTAACATGGGGAGTTTCATGCGTGGAAAGTATTTTTAAATTATATAAAATCCATACGAAGTCCGAAAATGACGAAACTTGATGAGTTGTGTTGTCATGGCATGTGGAGGCCGTGGTAAAAATTTCAAAAAGTTTCGAGCAAGTGGTGACGTCGGATGGCCAAAACCCATACATCTCCACAAGTACGAAACTTGACGAGTTGTGGAGATGTATGGGTTTTGGCCATCATCAATATAGCTAAAAAACTCAAAATTGTCCCAACTTTTGAAGTTGGGTTATATTTGATGTAAAACAGCACCAGAAAAAAATGGGCTGAAAAAAACAAAAAAAAATTCAAACTTTGCTGACGGCATGTGAAGGCCATCGGCAAAGTTTCTTTGCCGATGGCCGGGCCCAGGTAGCCATCGGCAAGGTGGAGGCCCAGGACGGCCCCTGAGGCCACCACGTGATGGTTCTTTGCCGATGGCCATGGCCGTGGCCATCGGCAAACACATTTTTTTAAAAAAATTAAAAGGCAGGGGCCCAGCCAGCCCATCCCAACCCTAACCCCATCCCCATCGCGCCCGACCCTAACCCCATCCGCCGCGTCTCCATTGCGCCGCCGCCACCATGGCTCCGCCCACACCGCAGATCTCCGCCGCCCCCGCCATGTGCTCCTCTCCCCTCGCTCACATGCAGTGGTGCCGCCGCTGTGTCCCCGTGTCCCCATGCCCCCTTGCCCTCCCTCCGCCCGGCTCGACCGGCCGCGAGGACCGCCCGCCACGCCCAACCGGTGAGGAGCTCGGGCTCCTCTCCCATGAGCTCCCCCTCTGTCCCCATGAGCTCCCTCTCCCCCCCAACCCAACCGGCCCGCCGTGTCCCCGCCGGCCCGCCGCGGCCCCGCCCCCCGCCGTGGCTCGACCGGCCGGCGAGGACTGCCGCCGCCACGCCCGACCGGTGAGGAGCTCGGGGCTCCTCTCCCCGCCGAGCTCCCCCCTCTGTCCCCGCCGAGCTCCCTCTCCCCCCCAACCCAACCGGCCACAGGAAGAAGAGGAAGAACAAGGAGGAGAAAGAAAAAGGAAGAAGGAACAAGGAGAAAGAGAAAGAGGAAGAAGGAGAAGGGAGGAAGGAGGAAGAAGGGAGGAAGAAAAAGAAGGGGAGGAGAAAAGAAGGGAAAAAGGAAGAAGAAGAAGGAGAAGGAAGGAAGGAAGGAGGAAGAAGAAGAGGAGGAGGAGGGAGGAGGAGGAAGAACCTCGGACCGATGACCTTCCGTACCGTTCGTCCACGCCGTCGTCCTTGCGCATCGCCGACGAAGAAGGTAAAGCCCCAGGGTTATCGGCCTTCATGTCGATGTGTCGTTGATGGCCTTCGTGCCGGATTATGGTTGTGTGAGCCATCGTGCTCGAAATGTGGACGTCGACCATCGTGCCGGCTTTTACTTGCAGGTTTTGGAAACCTCCCCGCATAGGGGAGGTTCTGCCGAAATTTTGTACTTATAGTGTTGTTTTTCTTGTTTTGTAGAGCAGGGCTTGTCGGAGGGGACCCGGAGCACCTCGGCGACCACGATCGTCGACCGACCGCCCTTCTACCGCCTCTGCGCCCCACCCTAGGTATAAGTCACCTCACATTACTCGCTTACGTTTGCGCATGATGAGGATGGATGGCTGACCGTGAGTGGATGTACACGGGGTTCAAATACAAGATGAGGAATGGGTAAAGGGACCGGTCACTTCCTAGAGCAAGCATTTGGCCCACTACTAAAGGGCAATTCGGTGTGGTGTCCTGAGCAAGTGTAAGAACGACAAAAAAAAGAAAGAGGCGGCCGATGTACCATGATATTTGGAAGAACGGATATGTTCCAAACTATACCCCGCTGGATCCTCCATGGGGAACGCCAACAACTTAGGGAGGCGGTGGTGAGACCGAACCTCGAGGGTTTGATGCAGATGCTTGGAATGGCGAGACTTGTCATGTGACGTTAATGAAGCATTGTTCGTTCAAGGAATGGAGGTGGAGGAAGAAGATCTAGAGGAGACCGCAAAGGCGTACTACACCATGATGGAGGCGGCACAAAGCCCCCTTCACGCTAACACCCACATTTCTAAACTGGATGCTATTTCATGCCTAATAGGGTTGAAGTCGTCCATCGGGCATCGATCGAGATGGTTTTGATCTCGTGTTGGCGACTATTGGCGGGTTGCTTCCGGAGCTTCACCGCTGCCGAAAGAGCGTCTGAGTCACAGAGGCTCCTTCGAGCACTCAAGATGCCCTATGACCCGATCCAAGCCTGTAATAATGGGTGTGTCCTGTTCTGGGGAGACCACGAGACAGCAACACACTGTCCAAAGTGCAAAGCCTCTAGGTACGTGGAGGTAGAAGGCAGTGATGGCAATAAGAAACAGTCTAAGATCCCCGAGATGGTCATATGGCACCTTCCTATAGTACCGAGGCTGCAACAGCGATACATGCGAGAGAGTCCATGAAACAAATGTCGTGGCACAAGAAAATGACGAGGTCACAAGAAATGTAACTAGAATCTAACTATCTACCTAACCTAACCTTGCGGGCTAATTGTGATGCGGAAATGAGTCCTGCATTGAGATGTGTGGGCAAAGGCGCCGAGCGACATGTCGAGTCATTCGACGTTTATGACGTGAATGGCTATCGCTTTCGCACGACGAGAACCTCTGAAGAAAGAGAAACGGGCAACCTAAAAACCACGTGCAGCGGAGTTCGTACTCCCGGCACGGATGGGAAGGACTATTACGGCATCGTCGAAGAGATATTGGAGCTTGACTTTGGCAAAGACCTAGGTTGTAAGCCAGTGGTATTCAAATGCCATTGGTTCGATCCTGAGTTCATGAAAAAGGACCTTAAGATTGGGCAAGTCGAAATCCGACAGGATTCCAAATATGGAGGGGACGATGTCTATATTGTGGCTAACCGAGACGCCACGCAAGTTTATTACCTCCCATGGGCAAACCAAAATGACAAGCGCCTTGCGGGTTGGAGCCTTGTGCAGATGGTATCGCCATGTGGTAAAGCAGCGGTCCCGAACGATGATGATTACAACTTTGACCCAATGACAGATGAGTTCTATCAACCTGAGGGGCTACAAGGTAGGTTGGAGATAGACATTCTTTCGCTGATGGGTATGGAAGTAAACAACGACATCGATGAGGACGAGGGTGATGAGGTGCACGATGCTGAGGACTTACGAATCCTTGATGAATGGCAGATGCGACGCGATGTAGTTGTTGCGGATGATGTTGATAGTGATGACAACTTAAGAGAGCTCGACAATATTGATAGTGATGACGACAGTACTGATGATGACGACGAGCGCTCGCCAGCAATATTGCCTTTCGCGGAGATAATTTCTAATTCATGTAATACTATATTGTTATTAATATTACCTTGCAGTTATTAATATTACCTTGCAGTTATGTTTCTTTACAGGTACTTGTTATTAATACTAACTCTTTAAATCTTTGTTATTGCAGGCACTCGACAAAATGCCAGGCGGAGGGCGGCCACGATGGAACGTCACCTCGAAGTACATGGCGCCGGTCGACCAGGACGAGGAGGAGGAGGAGCACGTGGCGGCCGACCCCTGCGAGGACGAGGACGAGGACGAGGAGCTTGAGGTGGAGCCGTCGACCAGTAGGGGTGTGAGGGCCCCCAGCGGACGGCACCGCACGCCGTCGAGGAGGCTGTTCGAGATGGCCTCCCAGGAGGGGGCGACGACGACGACGACCGGTGACGGTGACGGTGGCGGCGTCTGCGGCAGAGACGCTGAGGGCGACGATGACGACCTCGGCTGCGGTGACGAGGAGACAGCGGGCGGCTCTACTTCCACAGCTTCGGCTAAGCCCTTCCAGCGCGGCCCCACCAGGCTCCCTAGCCACCTGCCAGTCACTAACGAGCGCCCGGTGATTCGGCCCGCGGGCAAGTAAGTAACCATTGTTGATTTCTCTACTTGTTCATTTGACATTTTCAAATTCAAACTGCATACTAACAATTGTTGTTAATGACTCATGCAGGGGCTGGAAAAAGGTGACAAAAGGGGTTCTTCACGCTGTCCCACTAGCATCCAGGGCTTGCTGATTAAAAAGCACTTCCCTGGCTTGGTCCTCACCGCCGAGGGTAACCACATCGTGCCCGAGAAATGGCACCACTTCTCCCTTGTCAAGGACGAAAATGACGAAGTCCTTGCTGACAAGATCAAGAGGGAGTTCTGGGTGAGTCTTTGCATCGCATCGCATATCTCAATACAACGGATTCGTTGGACTTTCTTCAAACAATGAAATGATATTTGATGCCTGTGTGCAGTTGTACTTCCAGTTGGAGGAGGGGCAGGACCTCGGGCAGGCGTCACGGCATCAGGACTTGGTGTGCGCTGACCGGCTCAAGGACATGTTCTACGAGGCGCGTACCTAGGCCGCCATCAGCTACTACGCCAACATCAAGAAGGTGAAGGTAGATAAGGAGCAAGTCAGGGAGATGATGTCTCATGAGGAGACCGACCTCACCGAGGAGCAGTACATGCAGGTAATATCAAAAACTTAAGTAATTGTCAGGAAACATCCGTTATGATTTCTTACATGACACATTCAATTCATTATCTGGAATATAAAAAACTTGAATGTCATGTAGATGCCTCCGGGCTGGTGCAGCAAGTACGAGGACTGCTGGCTTGTAATTATCAGAGGGTGGCGTACGCCGGCGGCGTACGAGGAGCGCAGAGCACGTCGGGCGAAACGCAAGGCAGAGCTCGATAGGTCAGGGGTCTCACACCACCAAGGGAGCCAGATCCTGCCAGAGTTCATGGAAACATGGGTATTCTTCTATTGATGCATTTGTTATAGCACTCAATTGTCACTACTTGTAACCATGTTTGTGTTTGTCCGCAGTCGGCGACGCATGGTGGGGAGCAAATCAACGAGTTCACGGGGTACGCGCTTGCTCACATCGGCAAAGCGAAAGCGCCCACCACCGTGTACAGCTCGTCGCTCGGGCCAGAGAAGTACACCAGCCCGGTCGTCTACGACAAGCTCACCAAGTACGCCGCAGCAGCTCGAGAGCGCCATGGCGATGACTACGACCCCGCCACCGAGCCCCTGGACACTGACCTCGTGATGAGGATTGGAGGAGGGAAGCAGCACGGCCGGTACTTTATGGCCAACAGCGTCATCGACCCGTCGTCTGTTCAGACGCTGAGCCAGATCCGCAAAGAAGACCGGCAAAGGGGGGGCGGATCGCAGATCCCCATAGCGCCTCGGCAGCAGAGCAGCGCGCAGATGATGACGACACTTCAGGTAAGTGGAGTTTCATTCGTCGTTCACTCGTTTCACGCATGATGTACCTTGCCTTCAAATACCATCAACCATTCTGGTGTAATATTGCAGGCCACGGTCCAAGAGCTGCAGGCGGCCCAGGCAGCCCAGGCGGCTATCCAGGCGCAGCGGGATGCGGCCCATCAGGAGCAGCTGCTGGCACTTACGCAGCACTACCAGAGACAGTTGGCGGACCTGTCCCTACACTTCCGGGCCCAGATCCCGGGAATGCAGGAGCCTCCTGCCTCGATCTTCGCTCCACCACCGGTAGTTCCACTGCCTGTTCCTGTACCTGGTCAGGTGAGTACAATGATTGTCGCTTTAGCTTGTGCGGCCAGCCTACAGGTACTAATTACATCACTTGGTCTTTGTGCAGGCACCGTCGGCGGGTTCGAACCCGACTCCAAGTGGTAGCCCTCCACTGGGTCCTTCTCCACCGCACGGCTGGGCACCTTACCAGAGCTTCCCCACGCAGCCGTACGTCTGGCCTCCTCCACAGTCGCAGGGGTACTCCTCCTGGCCGCAGCAGGGGCACTACGGGCCTCCAGGCGTCTGTCCGCAGCAGCTGGGGCAGTACTGGCAGTACGGTTCGGCCCCGCAGTCGGGTTGGTCGCAGCGGGAGCAAGGTGGGGGCACGACTCCGAGTTGGTCTCCGTGGGAGCAAGGTGGTGGGGGCTCTGGGACCCCTGGGGACGGCGCCTCGAGCTAGGTACTACACTTGTCGCTTTTGGACCTTGTATGGATGACTATGTATGGATGACGATCGACATTTGTCGCTTGTGTATGGATGACTTGGAGGATATGTGGGTACCATGCTATATATGTGATGTGCGGATGAAAATGGTATTTTGTTGCTATATATGTGGGTCATATGCTATATATGTGATGTATGTGTTGAAATGTCGTGGAAATGCAAGCAAAACAGAAAAGGAAAGAAAAAAAAATTCCCAGGTTTGCCGATGGCCAGCCGTCGGCAAACCTGAGATTACTTGTCAGCAAATCCCAGGTTTGCCGACGGCTTCCCAGGCCGTCGACAAAATGACCATAACTTTGCCGATGGCCGGCCGTTGGCAAAAATAGTTTGCCGACGACCGTGGCCGTCGCCATAGAAATTCCGAAAAAAAAAAAACGCTTTGCCGATGGCCGTGCCGCGTCAGCCGTCGGCAAAGCCGCCGTCAGCCTGACGGCGCGTCGGCTGACGTGGCGCCTTTGCCGATTGCTGATGTGGCCATCGGCAAAGCTTTGCCGATGGCCTGACAGTTGGCCGTCGGCAAACCTCCCTTTGCCGAAGAAATGTCTGCCGATGGCTCTTTGCCGACGGCCACGTCGGATTGCCATCGGCAAAGCCTTTGCCGATGGCAATCCAGACTTCGCCGATGGCTGCGGGCCATCGGCAAACAAGCCGGATCCGGTAGTGACCTGCATTACCACTTGTCACGGCAGCATGTAGAGCGTTGTACCCATAGGCTCCCCCATGAGCCGCATCAGGAATCTGCAACAGCTTCTCCAAGACGTCCCCATAATCTCTCGTTACCGCGATAAACATGGTTGACTCATAACGTTTGGTCACAGCTTTCGATAAGGCGGGCTCTGCTTCTATCAGCTCCAGTGCGAGCTTCCTATATCCCCCTGAAGATGGCATGGTGCAGTGCGTTGAATCCACGCTTGTCTTGCTTCAGGATCGTCTCGCTCAGCTGCTGATCACAGCAGAACCTAAGTAAAACAGAAGCTAAAGTGGCATGGCCCCTAGCCACGGCGGTGAGCAGCGGCGTCTCGCCATTGGCATTGATGGCGTTGAGTAGAGGAAGGTACTGGCTGAGCGTCAGGACATCCTTGCAGAATCCCTGGTGGCCATGGATGGAGGCGATGTGGAGGCAGGTGTTACCCTGCTGAGTGGTTCCAAGAAGCACTCATGGATTGTGAGAATCAAGGTCCTTCATTAATCTAGCATCGCCAGTTACGGCTGCTTCCAGAACCCGTCCATCCATCGGCGTTCCTTCCGACGAACTAACCGAAGCCTAATTGCAAATAAAAACACTATCAACTGTTTGCAAACCTTCCGAATAATGACCTATATACTGCAGAAAATAATACTTAGCAAACCATTGTTTGGACCTACAGATTAATGTCATGGAAAGAAGTATCTGTTAGTATAATTTTTTACAGTCACATACAGAGAAACAAAATACTTACCGGGTTGTTGTTAATATTTTTTTCTCCGTCACCTAGAACAGACGCTATCCACGTTAGCCCTCTCCTCCGTGCTAGATGCAGAGCACTTTCTCCACTGTTATCTGCCATGTTTATAGGATGGTGAAGCTGCTGAGACCCCAGGACATATTCTACAAACTCTGCCTGACCATTTAATACAGCTACATGAAGACATGTCAAGCCATTTGCATCGCAGTAGGGAGCATCGGGACAATGCTTAAGCAGCTCTCGAGCAACACCAACATGGCCCTTAGATGCCGCGATACAAAGAAGAGGAAAACCGTATGTGGAGATTAGGTACCCTAAAAATGGATCATGTTCCAACAGTACTGTAAGCACGTCGACCTTGTTCTGGTATGCAGCTAGGTGCATTGGAGTATATTTATCCTCACTTTCTTGTCTGGCTAGCCAAGGACGCATCTCCATAATCCTTCTAACGATAGCTGAAACCAAATGAAGCAGCAGAAAATGGTTGAGAACCATGGAACGATGAAAGCTAGCTGACGATAACTCGATAAGTAATGGTTGTACATTAAAGAAGACTTCACGTTAATTCTCAAAAGTTGTGTTTATGCAAAAAAAAAAAATCCTAAAATTGAAAGATATTTTAATATAACCCCATTATTTTTATATAAATTATCCACCTCTATTGTTATAAAATATTATGCTCCTCCGTCCTCTCAGCAACCAGTATCTTCCTTGAATCCTTCCTCCTATGCACCTATGACTCTACTCTCTATCATCATCCTTATCTCTGCTACTTTTCCCTCGGCGCCTAGGAAACACCTAGGCGCTCCTAGTTGTGTCTAGGCTCTAGGTGGAATTGGAGGTCACCGTTTAGAGAGCATCTAACACCTTTTTATAACCTTATCTAAGTTATCCATTCCCGATGTAATAAAAATAAATTAAAATATATTCTAAATCTACATATAAATACCTATATAATTTATTAACAAAAATAGCCTAATAACCCTATGCTATATATTTCTAAATAACATATTTCTACCACATTTATGCTATATGTTCTGCAGTGTAGACTAAGTAATGATCTACTTCAGGATTAATTTTTGTTTTACTAGTTTATCAAGAATGGAAAATATTCCTTTAACAAACCACATATCAATATTAAAGACACAAACAAAACACTTTAAATTATATTAGTACTCCAGATATTAAATTTTCTATCACTTTATACATTTTGATATAAGCATTATTGTCGGTGTTTCGAGTAAACACCAACGAGTAAATTTGTATTATTGCGCGTTGGGCCCGGATGATGTACTAAAAGACACAAGGTTTATACTGGTTCAGAATGTCCCTACGTCCAGTTTGCGGCTGCTGCTCGTGTTATTAGCACTGAAAGATTCATAGTAGGGATTACAAACGGGTGAGAGAGGGACATGTCCCAAGTCTCTAATGGAAAGGTTGAAAGAACGCTAAGAGCTTTGTTGCTGCTCAGCTGTGTGTTATGTGAGGCGTGGTGTGTTCTATTGATCCCTCCTTTTAGTGGGGTGCCCAGCCTTCCCTTTCATAGATCAAGGGGAAGCAGGGTTTACAGATGGGAGAAAGGAGAAAAACCAGAGGCCAAGAAAGTTCTTCGAAGGTGCTGGGTCTTTCTTTTCCTCTGAGCCGACCCTACTGACACAGCAGACGGTGCCAGGGATAGCTCCATGCTGAGCGTCTGATCGTTTGATGATGCCATGCTCTGGCTTGATCAACAAGTGGTCACGTCCCATCCCGCCCCGGCGGGCGGCGCGACGGACCGGGGTGTCGATCTGCAACCCTACAAGGAGGGGACGACGCAGTGATTGCACGTCCGTCACTATAGAGGACGCAAGTCTCCTCTTGGACAGTAGTGGTCGTCGTATGGTTCCATCAGGATCCGCGCCCGAGGGCCAATGGCGGCACCCACAACACTGTAAAACAAATGTCAATGCCCACAACACTGTTCGGGCTCTGACATCCTGGAAGGGCCTTAAAGTGTCCGTCTTGTCATATCCTGTCGGTACTTTCCTTCAGCGTGCAGGGTATGGTCCTCAGTATTGCGGTTGACTTGAGTGTCCTGCCTTATCTGCGCATGTAGTTATGAAGGAGCAGCGCACAGTCGTCGGGTGAGGCGGAGTCCGCCCCCAGACGTCGGGTGAGGCGGAGCCAGCCCTGGGACGTCGGGCGAGGCAGAGCCTACCCTCGGACATCGAGTGAGGCGGAGTCTGCTCTCGGACATCGGGCGAGGCAGAGTCTGCCCTTAGACGTCGGGTGAGGCAGAGTCTGCTCCCAGACGTCGGGCGAGGTGGAGCCAGCCCTCGGACGTTGGGCGAGGCGGAGTTAGCCCCTGAACGTCGAGTGAGGCGGAGTCTGTCCTCGGACGTCGGGCGAGGTGGAGTCTGCTCCTAGACATCTGGCGAGGCGGAGCCAGCCCCCGGGGGTCGGACAAGCGCGGAGTCTACCCTTAGATGTCGGGCGAGGCGGAGCCAGCCCCCGGGGGTTGGGCAAGGCGGGGCCCATGGTCTCGGTGGATGGATGAGGTGTAGTCGCATTCTTGCCTGTTCGAAAGAATCAACGTTTAATGGTTATTAGCCCCTCCTCTTTGGGTACCCTAGTATTCGGTCCCTGACAGTAGCCCCCGAGCCCCCGGGTGATTCGGATAGAATCGCCCGGGGGTGATTTGACTTGCCAGAGGGTACGCGGTGCGCACGAGCGCACCCGACGGGTGTAGCCCCCGAGCCCCCAGGAGATTTAGACAGAATTGCCCAGGGGGTGATTCATCTCGCCAAAGGGTGTGCGCGAGCGCACCCATCGGGTGTAGCCCCCAAGCCCCAGGTGATTCGAAAAGAATCGCCTAGGGGGTGATTCAGACCCTTCACGGGTATGGCTATGAGATTTGGTGGTTATTTAGCCGGATAGCTTAATTGGGATCCTGACATCCCATTCACGGGGATCGGGTCAGAGTCAGCCCGGCTAAGACTCAATCGCGGACCGAGACTCTTGTGAAGCTTGTACACCTAAGTTTTGGCCAATCGTGGGCCCATCCTTCTGTCGTAAGGGTGCCTTGGGATGGCTATCAAAACCATTGATGGGCCAGCCCTAAAATTCCTAGGCCCAACCAGGTTGGAGGAACGCTTTTTGACCTGTATCCTTTTGCTGGTAAAGAGTCCTAGTCTACTTGGGGAGGTGAAACGTCCGGCGTTTTTGGAGGGAAAGGATAGGGATTGGGGGCGCATATCCCGCGTGGTGATGTGGTGGTGAATCGTGACAGGCGCAGAGATCTAGGCAGACGATTGCCTTCCTCGCATCCATCGCCCCTATAAAACCAAAGGGTTCGCCCCCAGGGTTTCATACATTGCCTCCTTGCCTTTGCATCTACAACCTCCACCGCCAATCGCCTAATCCTCCCGCATCCACATCTCAGCCGCTGTCAGGTTCGCATCCACCCACCCCAATCATTCAATGGAGCCGTGGTGCAAATCTGATATCACCCTTCAGTGCCTAGAGGGCCTCATTCGCCGTGACCTCCTTTGCTCGTGGACTGCCGCCGAGGAGTGGCGGCTGCTCGGCGATGAGGACGCACCATCGTCGCCCGATGGGTATGTCGTATCCTTCGCTCACTTCCACGAGCGGTGATTCACCACCCCCGCCCATAAGTTTCTTCGGGGCTTGCTGCACTACTACAAGGTGGAGCTGCAGCATCTTAACCCCAATGGAATCCAACACATTGCGGCGTTCATTGCCCTGTGTGAGGGGTTCCAGGGGATTAGTCCCCACTTTGACCTGTGGTGGTACTTCTTCGCCGTCACCCTCCTGAAGAAGCGGGAGAAGAAGCAGGAGCTGAACGTGTCGATGGGATGCGCCGGCATTCAACTATGCAACAACTGGGTCAGCGAGTACTCGCTGATGCGTCTGTTGACCTCCAACAAGGGGTGACATTTGCATTGGTTCTACGTCAAGAATGATGCAGCCGCCCCCTTGCCAGAGTTCACCAGGCACCTCATCGAAGAGGTCCAGGAATCATGGAGGAGGTGGGGAGTCCCAAAAAAAGACAAGAAGAAAATCTAGGACCATCTCGCCGCCGTCCGAATTCTGAAGGAGAGGGGCATGAAGGGGTCGGGGATCATCGGCGCCTACCACGCATGGAGGGTGGCGCCGCTGATGAGGCGTGAGCTTCCCCTGCACATGATGGTGCCCGGGGTGTCACTCGATGGGACGATGCTCGCCGAGGGAGCACTCTCCCCCTCCGAAGTGGCGCAGCGCATCAAGGAGACGATGGAGCCTCCGCGGGACGACGCCAGCGCTGTCCTTGATTTCGTATATCCGGTGCCGAGACATCCCCCAATATGGCCGGAACCAGGGTACATTGTTTTCGTAAGTTTTCTTTCCTCGTGCCTCTTTTTTAATCGAACTCCCGACCTCTTGACGCTGATTTGAGATAGGGGGACCAGCCGAAGAAGCTTGTCCTTTTGGATCTTTCAGCTCTGCTACCGAAGGATCCGGCCGTGACGGCGGCCAACCGCGTCGTGGCCGAAGCGGCAGCGGAAGGCGAAGGAGGATGAGAGGAGGAAGAAGTAGTAGAAGCTGCGCGCGCGGGAGCGTGGGGAGGAAACCAACAGTGATGAAGATTATGATGAGGAGGAAGAAGAAGAGGTAGTTGCCGACATCGAGTGGGATGTCTTGGAGAGCGGGGATACACTGACAGGTATCCCATCATCCATGCAGGGAACCGTCGGCCCATCCTCAGAATAGGTAGGGGCGGGTGGATCAGCCGCTGCGCTTGAGGTATCAACAGAGGGGAACGGCCCCGCCATCGTGCCTCAAGAGTCAGCGGGGGCGGGTAGATCTGCCACCGCTCCCGAGGTGCTAGCGGGAGTTGCCAGATCTGCTGCCGCGCCCATGGTGCTGAGGGAGGGGGATGGCTCTATCGACGCGCCCCCGAGTGCAAGGGAGGCGAGTCCCTCGGCCCGGGAGTAGGGGGCGGGCCCCAAACAGCCTTGTCCCGAGGTGGCGGAGCAAGGACCTAGGGGTTCGTCCCCCAAACGTATCCTGCGCCCAACGATGCCGATGTAAGTCATTGACTTCTCTGTTTTCTCTATTTTCTTTTCTGTTTTCAGTGTGCCTCATGCCTTCTGTTTCTTGCAGCGTTCTAAGACAGGGCCACTCTTTGGCGCTGGCGCCCAAGAAGAGTGTCGCCATCCAGGCGAGACGTTGGCCGTCGCCCGACGTCGCTCTTGCTTTGGGCGAGAGTGGAGCCGGCGTTGCAGCTTTGTCGGCCGGTCAGGCGCTGCTCGTGGTGGTGCCTGTGCCCTCGGTGGGACAAACAGTCGCCGGGGCTAAGGGAACACCCTCGGAGGTCACCGAGCAAATGGCGATGGAAGCGATTCCGCTGCCGACGTCGGAGCGAACAGAGCTGCCGCTCGCACTCGTGGCGCTGACCGCTGTGGGCGTGATGCCATTGGTCAAGGCCCCTCTGATGCAGATGGAGGTGGTGGTGA